AGTACAAAGCGTTAACAGTTCCGTTTTGGCCTATATTGACGACTGATTTTGCTCACGAACTTCTTCACAGCCTTTTACACTGTCCTGGAACGATACTCAAGTGATTCAAGAACTGTTAAGTACTACCAAAGCTATCGCCAGTGGGTTAATCCAACGGGATTGCACTGACAGAGAGCGATTTAGAAACCCCTCATACTCCAATGGCTGTAATGCGAATTCGTTCACTTAGGACACTGGTTTCGACAGACTGGGATTTTCCTCCGTCCATCGTCTGACCCTAGTGAAGTCCGTGTATATGTCCGTACCCTCCGTTATGAAGCTTTCCACCTAGTAGGTTGATCGATTTCACCAGTACACCAGTGTACGGAATCTGTTCAGGTCATTATAACTCGACCAACCTCAGTTCTAGTTACACTAACTTACTGTTTCTTCAGTCATGCTTGCAAATGTTGACGCCTAGTCAATCAATCAATTAACAACAGCAGTACATCAGCCATTTGTATTGGTGCTTCGCTGCTAAACAACCATGATGACCTATGGAATAAACAATATTAAGAGAGAAGGGGGAATTACCTGAAAACCGTAATCCCCTAAGTAAACATTCAGTGTCGAGGCGCCTACACCTTGTGTAGACAACATACCGTCACAACATAGCTGGCTATCGTGCAAAGATAAGGCGGCATCGGCGAGACAGCTTCCTTGCGGCATTCACTCCACTGCATCATATTCAGCCATTATCCCGCAGATAACTCAGCACCAGACACTTTAAACAGGCAATCCGATTAGGAGACGGACGCAGACTCGCCACTGGTGTCGCTTGCGAACCATGTTCTGTAACCTCTCGAGCCAAGCACAAGGCGGGTCACGTGAATTCCAGCCCGGAAGGAGAAAAGTACCAATGGCACCCAGTTTCAGCGTCAGTAACTTCATTTCCCGATGCCAAGTCAACCTTTATCCACCTCGAGCCTTGCGTCACCTTATATCTGGCAGACCAAACAAGGCTTAGGTAAGCGGTGACCAGGCACATGTAGCACTTGCCCAAGCCAAAGCGACTTATTCAGTGCTATCTGTTGTTCAAAGGAAGTAGCTTGCTTATCACTGCCTAGTACTTGCCTACGCACATCATCGTTGTGAATATGCTGGTGCCATCCGACACCAGCAATGCCACGCAGACAACGATAATGAAACATGAAGGTGCCTCAGATCTTCAGATCGAAGGGGCAAATCTCACTACTATAGAGCAGGACGACTTTCATTGTGGTCTTGTATACAAGTCGTTTCAGACGGAGGGAAACTCCCTTCTGTCTTCAATGATGTCGCAGGTTTAAGAGAGCATTCCTGGCTTTAGCAATGAGTGAACTGACTTCAGTTTCTATGTGCCCATGGTTGCTGATGCAACTGCCAAGGTAAGTGAATCGAACAACCACCTTGAGTTCCTCGTTATCAGGGGTCAAGAGGTCATCAAGTGGCTGGTGGTTCTGCAGCAACGCCTTGCACTTTGAAGGTGCGAAGCGCATACCAAATGATGGGACCACTCTAAAGAGGTTATTCAGGGTTAATTGTGTAGTCACAACATCGTCAAAAAGCAGGCCGACATTGTCCGCATAATCAAGATAAACTTACCTTCACCAGTCAGGACCTGAGCGCTTACATTGTGAGATTCCGCAAGAGAACACTCCATGATGGAGTCCACGACGAAAGTGAACAAAAACGGGGAAATCGGACAACTCTGACGAACTCCACTTGTGGTCAGAAAGACAGATCACCGTAGATCCTGATACGACCTGTAGTGTTCGAGTATAGAGCACGTAGGATGTTCACATATTTCATGCGAAGACCTTTCCGCGCCAGCTGTTCGAAGAGAATGCAACGATCGATTGAATTGTACGCACTCTTGAAATCGAGGGACACAGCTATTGTCGGTCTGCGGTATGCGTGCCGCTGCTCTAGCACCTGCCGCAGAGTGAATATATGCTCTATACAGCGACGTTCTGGGCGGAAACCTGCCTGATCTTCCCTACTCCGAGATACCCGTTCCACAGTGAGTCGACGAACGAGAATCGAAACCAATAATTTTGCCACAATTGGTGGTAGGCTAATACCACTGTGGTTACCACAGCCTGTGCGACTGCACTTCTTGTATATCGCCAGCGTAATCGATTCAGTCCAGTTAACCGAGACACTCTTTGGCTTCCAGGTACGTTCGAATAGGGAGGTCAGTGCTTTGCAGAGCACCTCACTTCCATCTTTGATATTGCAGGTGGGAGGGAATCCCGGCCAGCAGCACGAAGACGATCGAGTGCTGTGATCGTGTTTCGGACCTCAGCCTCCGATAGAGCCACTAAACTTACCAGCCCTGGCTCGTCCTACGTCATCGGAGTAGAAAGATGTCCGGGAGCAGTGGGCCAGCTGAACGGATCTTGAATATGTTCCACCCAACGAGCAGTACGGTGCTACTTAAAGTATGTCAGTGCAGTCACACTATCTATGATTGTCTCGCTGACGCAGTTTATCCTTGGACCAGTGGTGCGGATCAGCTGGAAGAGCTCGCGGTAATTGCCTACTGCTCCTGCCTCTTCCATTCTTTGAGCCCCGACTGGTCCACCAGGATTCCTTATCAGCTCGTAGGCTCCGAAACTGTTGGCACCTAACAGTCCGTCTGGCCACATTATGCTCAGAGCCATCCGGGATTCCAACAGGTTCCCCTATCTCTCGGATATCCAGTGGTTGGTGTGGTGACGATTGATAGCGCCACAAGCAGATATTCCTGCGCTGTGCATGACGGCCGAGATCCAATTCCACTGCAGCTGTGTCATTAGAACAAGACAGCGAATGTTTGATACTCAGTGGTCCTTGTTAAGCTTGCCTGACCGAGCGCTGAGACAATTTATCAGTTGTCAATCGGAGGGGACGCTTGGTATGTCTCCCGATAATGTTCATGGAGAAACGACAGCGTACCAAGGCATGATCAGAGTCGATGCAGGTATTCCAGTACGAGCGGCAATCCAGAATGGAACCACACCACCAGTAAGTTATGGCAATGTGGTCAATTTGGGTTCATCTCTAGCCAGCTACAGGAGGACGCCAAGTGGCAATTCGGTGTCCACTGTGCCTAAAACAGTGCTTCTAATAAGCAACTGGTTCTCCGCCCACAGTTGCAACAGATGCTCGCCGCTTGTTGTGACACCCAGTACGCCTTCACCCCACGGCCGCAAGAAGAAGTCCAATATGAGCCGGGATGAACAGATTTTCTATTACAGTACGGCACCAGTTATTTAGCTTTACAAACAAGGGCGAATCCAAGCTACTAAACGCATGAGATCCAACAGGCATGGAGGAAACACGAAATGGAACAAGCAAATGAGAATCGCGAAAATTACGAGCCAATGAATTGCGGCAAAGAAACTAGTGTCTGCGGAGTTAATCCCTGGGGGTAACCTTCTGGTGAGCCACCATTAAAAACGACGAGTAGCGTCCAGTCAGTGTGGAGAAGTGATGCGTTTAAACAAATGCCAGAACAGTTGATAGTGAGAATGATACACACCAGGAAAATAAAAACAGGTATAATAAATATGTGTCGGCTGAATATTTCATCCACGTGAAAAAGCTAAGGAACGCTGAGCAAAAGAAACCAATCAGAATGTCCACAGAATGAGACGGCTGAAATTAGCTGTGAGCGATTGCGAATGAGGCTGAGGAAAGCGGCGTGTCCAAAAGGTAGCAGAGAAGCAGGTAACTGCGCAAACAAAGAAATAGGCAACTAACATAATTCATGAAACTGAGGATTAAGTGGCCAGCTCCCAACACCGCTGTCAGTCCGTTCTTAGTTAAGCTCATAATTACCACTCAATTGAGCTTCAGAACAGCGCAGACGCTGGCTAGCCGAACAACCTCCTCGTGGTGCCAGCTGGGTGGTTCGGGTTTAACCCGTTCCAGCAAATAGTTCGGCGGCAGTGTTCCAGGACGTGGTGGGTTTTCGCCTGGCAAGCGTTCTCCCTATAAAAAGCCACAAATGTCTGCTTAACAACACTGCGACGTGGCGGATGTGACTCGCCACAAACTAAAGTCACTGGCCCGTGGATATTCGGAAACTGCTATCCAACCCACGAAAATCAATCGCTTCTTCTCACATTTCTGACGAAAACAAACAGTAAAACATTCTGCGGCGCATTCAAAACCACAAGCTACATTCCTACACAATTACATAAGTATATACACCCATATACTTACATACACTGTTATGCCAAACATGTCCTTTTGTACAATTTGATCACGCTATGTTCGCTAAATATGATTTTGCCTGTAGAGGTGCGCCTCGCGTTGTCGAGAATAAAACTTTATTTATTTATTTATTTATTTACTTGTGCGTTCGTATGCCCTGCAAGCAGTATACTGTCGGAAATAGTAGCACTGCGTAGTAACTCGTTCAGTTCGTAATAGGATGTTTCCTTGGCAGCATCAGAACTGCAGTCAGTGGGATCATTAGCGGAAAGTACAAACAAACAGCGTTTTGTACTACTTCGTGAAACAACTTTAGCTGATGTCGTCAAACAGGCTACACACAAACGGCTGGTCACCGGGATCCAATTGACCAACGATGGCTCAGCCTTGGAGCTTAGAATGATAGCTACCCCAGCTTGACCTGTGAGTGCTGCATCGGCGTCTCTGGATGCGTGCAACCAATAACGAGATCACAAGCCGGGCGCAGTTAATTCAACAACCTATTGGGGTCATTGTTACTAGTTTTGGGCACACAACACATGTCAATACCCAGTGTGCCCAACGTACGTGCGAGTGCAACATGTTGACCTAATGGCATTAGAGTGCGAATGTTGAACGCCGCGATGGTGGTAATTTTCATTCTAGGTCTCTTCACAGCTTTAAAGCCGTACCTCTTCATTGGCATGATTTAGATGTATCAATCATAGAATTAACTCAGTCCACGTGTCACCAGTGAACCGCGCTTGAATCAACTTTCCCCCTCATTTGTTTCTTTGCAGTTTTCTCTGGGGTAATTACAAGGTCTACAGGAAAAAAGCTGCTTTCGCCCACCCTACAGCAGCTATTCATGAACCTACGACATTAGGTCATGTTGATAGGAGCCGGCCCCTTCCTGCACATCCTGAACCAGAAGAATGTCTGACAACTCGATCTTTGATTAACTTACGGCTCCCGAATCCATCCATGTTCGAGATTAGACCGCCAGCCGCCGAGTGTCCCATCCTCCTCCGATCCTGGCTTTCGAACTTGTTCCTTGCACACCCTGATTTAGGAAGGATCCTGCGCACCCCTGCATCCTCTGCGGTTCCAGTCATCTCTCGAAATATCCAAACCTCGGATCTCTTACACCGAATCGAATTCCATTCCCCTCGAGCTATTTTACGGGTTTGTCGGTGCAACAGACATGAGATACCAGAAGTGACTGACTTGGAATTGGATTGGTTCTTGAACTACGCAGTTCCACCTACCCAAGCGGTGATCATGGTTGTGTTCGACTCCAGGTAGGTAAATTCATCCTGTCTGCTCTCTTGTTTGAAATACTGGTTACCTCATACGGCGCATGATAGGTGCCTATCGTAATTGTGTTTCTGAGCCAAATCCTGTAAAGCTAGCACCGTTTTTTTGTTGGTATAAATCGGCACTTCTGTCCAACAGAAAAGTCAGTCCTGGTAACAGGAGTAGAGATTATGCGGTTTTCGGAATATGGTGTGGCTTATTAGGTAAACTGGAGTCAAGATATGGCAAAACAACATCGGCCAAAAAGCAATGATCATTACATGCTCCGCCGTTACTAAATGTTGTTTGTCTTTGTCAGTGACAGGTTACAGGCGCGTGTATGAACTTGCTCAGCTGATGATAAAGACTTTAAGCAGTTTGCAGGAGGACATTAGAGATGGCAATTGATAAAATACCCCGCTTCCTCCAACGAATATGCTTACCTATTTACAAGTGAAGGTATCAGAGTTTAAGGGAAACTTTACACGATTCATGCAAATGGCATGAACAAATCAGAATTCTCCTTCCATATCGGTGAGCTAGAATACCTTTGCAGACTTTATTTCCGATACATTTAGTGTCAGACTCCTTTTCTAATGAGACTTCACCTGTTGTTAGCCCCTTACACCTAGCGTGGATAGCCAGGATCAGTTACTGAACCCGTCATTTAGACTAACAGTTTGTAGTCGTTCATCTTTGAATGTGAGGACTTCGTTTCACCCCTTCGCCAACCATAGTAGAACTCGACTAGATCATCAGCATGTTATGCAGAGTCGCTGGTTAACCTATTCCGATTCTGGCAACGATGAGCTCACATTTCACATCTCCTATGAGGCATAGTTGGTGACTAGGTGTATTCGTCATCGCTCATCTATTCCGAGCGCATGTATAGATGACAAGATGCTAGGGTAGACTCCACTGAGTTACCATGTACTTGCAGTTCCAACATTGAGCCTAATCAGGGTCGACAAGCTTTGGTGTAATATGCGATGTCGTGTTTTTGTGACTTTGGCTACAGATTGCGGTCTCGTAGTTCGACGTCGGATGCATAACGAAATTGGTAGGCTCTACAGGTAATTATCAATCGGCAACGACTTTGGGGCACTGCTCGGAACATTCCCTTATTGTAGGATCATTTAGATACCAAATGCTGTCTGTTCACTTGTTCGATTCATCCACCTGCACAACTCGCCTAAAGCACTCGTGAAAAGCCCTGCCACTTGTAAATCGCATGTAGGACCTTCAGACCCATTCAGATACAACTCAGTGTGCTTCAATATGGGCAGTAATTTATTTGTTCATTGAAATTAAAACTTAAATTTGATTCCGAATTTCAGAGATGTAACCAGTCGAGAGACAGCAAATTTCCAGTTCTTTCGCCGACTATACACTGAGCAGCATCGATCCGCATCGTTCCCAAAGATGATGAAGACGGACCTATTTCCCAAGCATAATTACAGTGAGACTTCCTCCAACTTGCAAAGTAAACCAGCTTCACGTAGTGTTCAGCACGGTAGTCTGGGTACAGGTGCGTGTGTCTCAATGAACACAAAACTGGCTCGATATCGTTTTGTATGCTACGATTTAGCACAACACGCAACAGTGATTGATCAAGTCAAGCAACAGGAATCCCTACTTCGGAAACGCCATGGTCAAAGGCCGAAAGTTGGGGACTGTTTGATATTCCTAGGTGGAAGATTGTGCTTCCTTCGTTCCCACCTGAACGGTTGTCCAGATGCAGTGCCATCCAAAAGACAACTGGAAGACAAGTTAACACAATGCACAAATGCCTTACTTCGTGATGGATTCGCTTTCCCGATGGACTACCAATTCCAGTGAAACAGTATTACCTTTGTTTTTCTCACCGCACTGTATTTTTTATCCATTACTGATCATCGTTGAGCTGTGCATTCGGAAAACAAAACTGACTTATGTTTATCATTATCTTGCTTCTTTTGATTGATATGCCGCTTTGTTCTATACATGTAGGAGAGAGATATGGCATCTCCGCGAAAGACAGTCAAACGAATTTTAACGGCATATTGCGATTGTGGAACCCGAAATGCTGTGTTAAAAGTGGGGTATCTCGTCATCCAACTCCAGACCATCGAGGAGTCAGCTGAAATGTGATCTCAGACTGACATGTGGCGTATGGTCTCGGAAGGGTCTGGCGAACCCTAAGCTGTACGCTACATTAGGATGCACAGGAGTGAATGTTACGTACCTTTCCGTGTTTCATATCTTTATTCTGAAACACTAACCGGGATGCTATGAGGAACCCATTGCACCAAGCTCTGAACGCGCAATCCATAGGACTTCGACGAGTACATTGTCCCGATCTCTAAGCGAACGCAGTAGTGATCGCATCAGTGGTTGAACTTGTCGTAATACTTAGTGCACAATCAACCGCCGATCGTTCGCACTGCCTCGTAGGCTTCACAAATTCGCCCCCATGAACCAACCAATTTGTAGCTTATCAGTGAGTAGTGTTGAGCTAGACAGCCTACATGTGAACCTGCCTTGCTTCACTAGTTTCAGGTAATTAATTAGACTGTTTCAGAGTCAAAACGCAGTGAATGCGCCTGTTTCCAAGATCTTGTCCTCATGCTTTTGTTGTACATAAGTGAATGGGAGTAGGAAAACCAGTTGATCTACTTGTCTACTGAAACCGATTGTGTGATTGGTCTCGTCAAGATCAAATTGGAGACAGTGGCCCAAATCAGCCCTAAATTAAGACAGCTTGTGGCCAAAATTGAGAAAGTCTGGATGGTTTCCTTTTGCATTCACATGTCCGACTTCCAAAACCTGCATGAAAATCTGTCCATTTCACAACACAATCTGGTTGTTGGTGCTTGACGAATGCGCGCTCTTCTCAACCACAGAGTACGGAACCCCTATCACTAAATCACTCTGAACCTGTATGGCATTCGGCAATAACAAGTATATAGGTGCTACGAAATCTAGTGCCGAGGCATCGCATGTAGCAGCTAATATGAACACATTAATTTTGAACGAAAGATATTCCAACGTCCTGCAAGGCAGTCAATTCCTTCATCAATGGATCCAGGAACTGATCCATATCCAGGAGCTTAACTGACTCACTGTATGACTCTATGTTGAACAGAAGAGAAATGGTTGGCGGCTTAGAACGACGCAGTGTCAGCCATATCTGCAACCGTGATGGGCTGCAAAACGTGTATTTGCGTGCACTAGAGTGTGTACAGTCCCTGGCGGCGTAACATCCCTATTCTGAAGCTGCTTCCGGACGCCACTTTTATGCGGAACCTGAAATTCTTAGGCAAGTCAGGGTGAATTACGCGAAGGAAAGTGTTAAAGGACCAATAAAAATACAGGTATACATGTGTAACCGTTCATGAGTGCAAACATTCGTTTTGCACTGGCGGCTCACGGACCTTTGTTATAAATTATCCTTTTGCTATCCCTACTGATTGCAGCAGTTCACGCAAGTTGCATAAGGAGTAAAAATTTTTGCAAAGAAAGCGCAAAATTTTGCAAAGAAGGTGCAGATTTTTGCAAAGAAAGTGCAACATTTTGCATAACGGTGCGCTTCGCCAACCGCTCTGAGCCAATCCGCTAACCTCAAGTGTGTTCTCATTGACCGGTTGCTAGGGTTTGATGCGTAAGTCAAGAGAAGGGAGCGCACTGTCCACTGACTACGTGAAACGTCAATGAACTTCGAGTCCATGGACGTGGGCGGTGCCACGAGCTACTACACAATGAATATGCGAGCAATGAATGGCCGGAGCCTAAGCGTACGACTGAATGGATGTCTTTCATCCCAGCATGGTCAACATGCCTTCTCGTGTTCGACAGAGTATATCGACAGACATTCGTGAACGAGTGGTGGATGCCTTCGTTAACGATGACCAATGGCAGCTCATGGTAACCGCGAACAACGTGAAATATCAAACTGCTTACTCCTAGATTTGACGTGCACTTGATCAGAAGCCGCATACTACGCGGACGCGCGGTCGTAAGCACATTCTGTCAGAGGAAGAGATTGATGACATCCTCGAGTGGATCGCGAAGGACGCAACTGTACACGAAATGAGAGTCCGAGTACGTGCCAATATGGATAAGCACATTTCAAATTCTACAATCGCACGACACCTGGATGGCCGTTTGATAACTATGAAGAACAACTATCAGACTCCAGAAGGAATGAACAATGATCGAACCAAGGTGATACGAAAGGAGTTTGTTCGAAGGTTTCTCTAACTTGAAAAGGAGGGGGAGTTCTTTATATGGATCGACGAAAGAAACTTCAACGTTTACTGCCAAAGTACTCGTAGTAAGGCTCCCAGATGCGTGAGGGCCGGTGTCAAAGTAGCCAACAGTAGCGGCCTGAATTTGCATCTTATCGGTGTACTCACAATGGATGGAAACGTTTCGAAGACTACCCGGAGTGGCTCATTCACTGGCCCCGTATCTCTCGAATGGCTGCGAGGCATTTTGGACAAACTGAAGCGGGAAGTGGAGCTCCGGCATGTGGTCTTAGTGTGTGACAATGCACCATGACACTCAGGTTTGGAAACACCGGCGTCATTTGAAGGATACGAAGGGGTACAACTCTGAGATTCGGACCATAACCACGTTCCACAATCCCAACGAAAGCGTTTGGCAGGTGGTGAAGGTCCGCGTGAAGAATGAAATGCAAATGCAGTACGATGAATTTCCGGCCGGGGATCCCCAGAATCTCATGACGCAAATGGAATGGAGGTTTTAGTTTCTGGAATGCATTGCCAGAACAGCAACCACTGAGATCAGTGTTGTGGGATGTCGTAATGCGATTCGACACATCCGTGTACATTTCCCTGATTGTTTGAAAAAATGACGTGCTTTGATTAAATTTCCGACTCATCACTTTCAACATCTGGTTGTATAGCGTATACCACTAGGAGCGGGTACGGACACGAGGAAATGCAAAGCCGACGAAAAATATATGCACGTACGTTAGGTTATACATTCGTACGGAGATTGCAGCGATATCTGATGTCAAGCGTTGTGCAATGGCATGGGACTGGCTTCCAATGAGACATTTGCGAGTGATATTTGTAGCGTATCGTCTACTTTGTACTGGTGAGCATCGCGCCTTACTCGTTCACGAAAAACCTTAGACAATGCAGATAGAGTTTCAGAATTCCGCAAACTAGGACGTCTGCACAGTGAATTACCGAAATACTGATAGTTATAGAAAGGCATCAGAAAATCCACAAGGGATTGCTGCACCAAAAATAATTAATATGCAAATCATTGCGCGGACAGTAAGCCACCGGTAAGTTGACGAGTGTTATGTTTACGTTATTTGATGTCGGGTCAGAGCGCACTTTATACGTTTCTAGAAATAGCCAGTTCCGCCTTCGGGAGAACATTGGGGCGCCCAGGGCAAATAGTGCGCGTGGTCGCATCGCATAACCGGTTTTGCTGCCGCGTTGTACTACATCCGCGCGAGAGCTTGAGAATTGGATTCACACCTAACTACGGGTGCATGGCTTGTACTTATGATTTCTCGCGTATCTCTGTTGACTTTTGGTGAGACAGTGGTTAACGATTATGAAAAGGACATAGCAGGCTTGACTGCCATGGGTCGAGGTTGTGATGGTTGATCGTGCCTAGCACGTAAAAGCAGCGTGGGCGCATGGATGCTGATTTACCGCGCGGCGTGTTGATCAGTGCGTACTATCAGATCAAGTGGGGAATGCATAACTTATGTTTACCACGACCTCAAGGGAAATATTTCCCACAAAATCACTGATAGATTAACAACAATTGCGTAGCCACTGGTTATGCCACCCGGGACGGTTTACAATTTTTCTCACCCTAGCCAGTAGTTAATTGCGTAAACTACCACATCTGCGAACAGCCGTTCAATAGGACGTTTCAGAGAACAACAATAATCGAAAAATGTTAGATTGCATTCGTAACCTCATAATCGTTCTCCGATCAACGTAGATTCCCAACGAAATGCCGCCAAGCAGTGTTAGGCACATTAGGATTACAACGAATCCCGACCCCGGACGTAGGTGCTAATAACTGAACACTGATTGTTTGTAGATGCAGGACAAAAAGGCGGTCCAATTTCTTTCCAATTTGATAGGCGACCAGGTGTACTAGGCTCCCGTTCACAATAAGGTTGTGTGGCAATGTAACATTATTTCACAATGAGCTGGGTATCTGTGTTGATCGGAACACGATTACGAGGTTATTCACGTAGGGCAGATTACCCAATGAAATATTCCAAGAAGGCCAAGATAACGTGCAATAGGTGAATAAGAGGTAAGCCACGCAGACGGTCTGACACTTCCAGATGGATGTTAGAGGGACTAAAAATTCGCTGCTCTGAATCTGATGTCCTATCATTACCAGGTTTTGCAACGTAGGATCATTTTAACAAACGCCATAAAATTTGAGATAACAGAGGATTGCACACCCAAGTCGAGCTAAGATATATATGTGCCTTACACATTTTGGCCCATCGCAATGAGGCTGGCCATCGCAATGAGGCTGGCCCATCGCAATGAGGCTGGACCTCACCGTGGTGCGATGGTTTGTGTGCCTCAGTGATCCATCGAGCTATACTGGGTGGTGCATTTTTTGCACCTTCAGAGCCACTCATACCAGATTGGTCAATGGGTAGAGGCCAGACAAACTCAGCCTCCTGGTCACCCAGGTTGGGGGTTGTAATGAGGGTGGTTCCTTATTCCTTAAAACGGACTCCTTGTAGCCCAGTGCCAAACCCGCTGCCTTGCGGTCAGGTTTTTGAACCAAAGGCTTTGGTTGAGAACCCTAATCGTTCTCCTGTCTAGGCCTGGGCTACCTGACAGTATCCTGCCCACGCAATACAATGAATCACACTTCAAACCAATTTCTGATGCTCTGGCCACCGCAGAGGATAATCAACGGTGCCCTATCTGCTGCA